AGAGGCCAGGTGGCTGATGGGAACATAAAGTGATGCAGGAAGGGGGCTGTGCCCCCCGCCCCTCAAGGACAGTCTAGCCATAATTTCCAACACAAGAAGTCTTGGGCATCTACATGCCAGAGGCGACTGCGGAAGTTGCTTCAGGACTGGCATTGACATGGTTTGGGTAGGGCTCTCTGTCGGAGAGGCTCTTCCGGTGCTACAGGGGGATCCCCCCCCCTTTGTCCGTGTTGAGTGCTGGATGGACATTGCCCTGGGAGAGGCAGGCAGCCTTTATTCAGGAACAACCCTTCCTGATCCGTTGTTCAGGGCCACTCCCCGGGACCCTGTCACCTATCGCTTGTTTCCCAAGGCTTGTCTGCCAAGACCCCTCATGGCCACTCTGGTGTATCAGGCCAAGTATCCTTTTCTTCTGTTCTGAGAGGTCAAATGGCTGGGCCTACAGCGCCAGAAGCCAGGCCCAGCTGTCCCCTTTATATAGGCGCAGTGACAGTGACTGTGGGGAAATGTGGGGCTTGTACCCCCTTCCCAGACAAAGTCTGCCTCTTCCTGACCTCCCTTCTTTCCCTCTCTGGGGCCTTGGGGCAGCCTGATCAAAATTTATCCAGGCCTAAAGGCCAAACTCTGGCCTCCAGGAGACTCAGTTTCACGGTCTTCTTGGCCAGGGCCAGGGCCTGTGATGCCAGCCATGTTTCCTCAGGCCTGCTTGCAGCATCATAGTCAACTGCCCTTGACTGTACGCACAGGTACTACGCCTTTGCTAACTTTATTACAACAGTAGTTTAGTGTTCGTTCTTTAAATAGTTTGGTTTTTGGAGACCGGGTCTCACTTTGTAGCCCATACAGGCCTGGATCTCATTCTTAGCTTTGCAAGCGCTGGGATTATGGATAGGAGCCATCACGCCCAACTTGCTTTTGTGATTTGTTTTGTAGCAGGACCTGGCGGGAAGGCCTGCCAGCCTAGCCCCTTGTGTTAGCACATCTGGCTTCAGCTTTGTTGTTTTCCTTATAATCAGAACAGCGAAGTTTGCAAGGTGTGGTAGCAGAGGAGCTAGAGGAGGACCAGGAATTCAAAGACATCCGTGACTACATAGTGGGTTGTTTTTTACTAGACTGGGCTCCTCTCACAAAATTATTCGTTTTCGTTATTATAATCTATGTTTACAAATGACGAGTCAGGCGTCAGAGCTGCGAAGCCGGTGTCCGAGGCTAGCCACGGAGTGAGCCCGGGAACCTGTCTTGCTGGTGCAACCTCCAGCAGGCAATCCGGCTGCTTGCTTGCTCCCCAGCCCTGTCTGAGAAGCTTGCTGCCCACTGCACCTGCGGTTCGAATGCTCACGGGCACTCTGGGCTCTCGTTAACTTTCTATTGTTACAGTTCCTTTTTTATAAATTCAAATGCCAAGTAAAGTTTTTCATCATACATTTCGGTTTCTTATTAATTCAAGTCTTTAAGTGGTGAAGGTCCCCAAAATCTGTACAAGGGGAGCCCCAGACGGACGGCCCCGCCCTCCGGAGCCCGGGAGGGGCGTCCTTCTGACGTCACCACGCCGGGCGGGCGCCCAGGGCTTTCCCACCGCGACAGGAACGCGGGCACTGCGCAGGCGTGAGGGCTGCATCTTCCGTGTAGGTCCAGAGTCTCGCGAGGCTCGGGGGCGGGTCTTCTGCGAGAGGGCCGCACCGGACGTGCGGGGTGTGGATCCCTGAGGCGAGGGGCGGAGCTGGAGATGGCGTCCGCGGCGGCTTGCCGGCTGGCCCGGGTAGCAGTCCGACCGGGGCCTCTCTGGAGCGGGCCGAGGGGGACGAGAGGTGGCGATGTTCCCGCCGCACCGGGTAGCTCAGGTCGCAGCCTGGTGCCGGCGAGGTCAGTCATCGTGACTCGCAGCGGAGCCATTTTGCCCAAGCCGGTGAAAGTGAGTGTCCGACTGGAGGCGGGGCAAAGGAATCGAGGCCAATCACTGGGGGGAAATGAGTGGTCTCTGCTGATTGACAGGCGCACGGGCCAATCACAGTATTGGCATGGTTTGGGTCGTGGACCTCAGACTCAATTGTGCGCAGTTGGGTTGCGGACTTTGACAGGTGGTGGGAAAATGTTAAGCTGGGTTCCTGGACACACGCTGGAAGGCAGCAGCGGGACGTGCACTGTCTTATCTCGAGGGGCGCAATGACCCTTCTTCTGTGGCCAGAAGAAGAGTCGATTGTGTCGATTTATAGAGGTCGTGCAGTCTCTGCCTCAGAGGTGATGGGATAAAACAATCCTGAGGAAGTGAGGAGGCAATGCGGAAGTCATCTACTTAGTAAAGACGCGAAGCAGGCCCTTCTATCCCGAGAAGTGTGCAGAGAACCTTGCAGAAGGGTTTTTAACAGGTGAATCGGGGCAGAGCTGGCGTCCGAAGCTGGTAGCTGAGTTAGGTCTTGACAACCAGGGGCCACGTCCTGTTTTTTTTTTTCCACCACTGAACGCTGTCATTTGCCCTCAGTGCCCCTAAGGAAAATGGAAAGTCTCGTAGACCAAAGGTGTGCTTTTTTTTTTTTTTTTTTATATGATCTCTTTTTTTAAGATTTATTTATTTATTATGTACACAGAAGAGGGTGCCAGATCTCATTACAGATGGCTGTGAGCCACCATGTGGGTGCTGGGAATTGAACTCAGGACCTCTGGAAGAGCAGTCGGTGCTCCTAACCTCTGAGCCATCTCTCCAGTCCCAAAGGTGTGCTTTTTAACCGCAGGGCCGTGTAGAGTTGAAGGGAAAACGGAATCTTTTAGAGGTAGTCTGACCTGTACTCACAGTTGACTGCAGTCAGGGTCCGCAGCAAGAAGCAGGAAGGTGCAGCTGCTTTATAAAAAGGCACAGCTGGGAAACCGGAAAGCAAATGCCAGTGAAATGTCACCGGCTTCCCTCCAGGCCACTCTGTCTTTTCGTGTTTTTAAAGTTTAATGTGACAGTTTCTCAGGCAGCAGGAACCAGTTACTTAAAAGAGAACTGTATGGAAGAACCCTTCACTGCACATCCTTTTGTAACTCATTTTTTATGTGTATGGGTGTTTTGCCTGCATGTATGTCTGTGCATCACTTAAGTGCCAGATGTCCACAGAGGCCAGAAGAGGGTGTGGTGTTCCCTGGAACTGGAGTTACTTGCTTAAGAAAGTCCACGTGGGTGCTGAGAATCAAACCCAGGTCCTCTGGAGGAACAGCCAGTGCTCTTTACCACTGAGCCATCTCTCCAGCCCCTGAAACTCACTTTTATGTGTGTAGATCTGGTCACAGTCTAGCCATCCTAGTGCTCTCACCCAGTTGTTTATGGGTTTTGCAAGGAATTGGTTGTGCCCTAATTTTTAGTTACTTATTTTCCTAAATTTAGTTTAGCTTTATGCTTTTCTTTCTGGTATCGATTTTGATGGCCACAAAACTCACTTTGTCTCTTTGTTGCTCTGAGTTTTTCCAAAGACTTTAAAAATCAGTTGGTGTCTGGATCTGGGGTCATTGGAGGAAATGCCCCTGAGGGCCAGGGCTTGAGATGCAGCCGCTGGTCTCCAGTGCTTACAGTATGCCTCTCTCTGCAGATGTCCTTTGGTCTCCTCCGTGTCTTCTCCATTGTGATCCCTTTTCTCTATGTTGGGACACTCATTAGCAAGAACTTTGCTGCTTTACTTGAGGAGCACGACATTTTTGTTCCAGAGGATGACGACGATGACGATTAACAGGTAAGACCTGCCTTTCTCCTAACTGGACAGGAACAAGAGTAGGGTGGAGTGTCTGATCCGTGATGCAGTCTGGCCTGCAGCAGTGTTTGGACATTCAGGGCAGAAGACTCAATGAGTTCACCCACTTCAGATATTTTGTCTTTCTCCTATGTTGGATGGGGGTAACTTGACTAACAGATTCACTGTTATCTCTTACAACTAGGTTAAGATCCTAGCTAGCTTTTCTGTTGTCCTTGATGTACCTTCATTCAGTCAACCAACATTTTCTTGATTTAATATGCCTTATTCTTTATACAAGTCATGTAATCTCTGCCTCAGAGATGAAGGGGTAAAACAGTCAATTATGAGAGGGGTAAAGGGAATGAAGCAATACAAATAAAAAGGGACTCTGGGGAGAAGGGTGGGGGGATGCAGAGCAGGACCTTCAGTCCTGAGATGGATGAGGGGATCTTGTAGGATTTTTACAGATGCATCAGGACAGAGCTCTGAAATTGGTGTCTGAGGCTGACAGCAAAGTTAGGTATTGGCATCCCGGGTTCTTGACCAAGTTAGTGAGGCCAGCTGCTTCATACTGAAATTTAGAAACCGGCAGGGGTGGGAGAGACAGCTCAGCCATTAGCCCTTGCAGAGGACCCGAGTTCTAGTCCCAGCACCCACTTCGGGTGGCTCACAGCCACCTGTAACTCCAGCTGTAGGGGATACACCACCTTCTTCTGGCCTCTGTGGGCACCCACACACATGGCAAACACATATATAAGTAATTTTTAAAAGGCAGCTAGCAAATCCTCAGTGCTGTCAGGTTTGAGATAGTTAGCTCTGGCTGTCCTACAACTCCCTCTGTAGACCAGGCTGGCCTCGAACTCACAGAGATCGGCCTGCCTGTCTCCTGAGCGCAGGGATTAAAGGTGTGGGCCCTGTTACTGCTGTCAGTTCTTCCACTGTGCGCTGGCCTAGCCGGTGTCCTGCTCACAGACCCTTAGGGCTCCCAGTGCTCTTCCTCTTCAGCTTTCCTGTGCTGTAATGTGTGCTGCATGGCTAGACTGTCACAGGCAAGGACACTCTTACCTTTCTGCCTGGCATTCTTGTCGTGGTCTGGTCATACCTTCTAGGTCATTTTTATCCTCCATGTTCCCAACCACAGGAGGAAGTAACCTTGAGAGGGCCATGTCTTCTGTGGTATCTCAGAGTGGGCTCCCTGCAGGAGCCATTATTTTATTATTATTAACACTTATTTATGTGCCTGTGTGTACGAATACAGTACTCACGGAGG